CATTTAGTTTAGTCTTCTAAGTTGAAGAATCATTTGCTTAATCCTAATTTCTTCTAGAAATAAGTTAGTTGATACGATTTCAATGCTATTAATTTCCTAGACACCAACTCAACGAGCTTGATTTGGCTCCAAATCTTCCCCACTTGAGCTTCGATAAAAAAAAAAAAAAGATACTTAATCATGTAAGTATCCTAGATATCCATAATTTCTTCATTACACGAAACATAGAAACAGAAGATATTTATAGGAAATGACTCATGGTGAAGTTAATTATTTTCATTATTGTATGCCTAATTATTGATTTTCTCAGTCATTATTTGATATTTTTATTTAATTTTTAGCAAACATACTGTTTGACAACAAAATGAATTTTCTGTCATCCTTTTAGTTAACTTGTGCTTATATAAATAGGTGAAGTGGAGAGACTGCTACCAGTTGTTGCGATGCTTCTTCAGTTCAGCCCTGACGAGGTGAGTTTATTTATTTTTCCTTTGCTGGACAATTCTCTATTGCCACAGAAATTTATGTAGAAAAAGATTTCTGAAATTTGCTGCACTGTTTTCTTTTTCCTCTGTTAGTATGAGTGTTGAGCTGAGTCATTATCTGGAGTGCATGCAAACTTGTCTTTGTTGCTAGTACAGTCGTGCATTGCAAGTTATAGACTAAACCTGCCAAATATTGAACTTTTTATGACTATTCCTAACTAATCGGGCATTTAGTTTTCGTTTATTCCATTCTGATTAAGTGAATAAATCTTTGAAGTTTATTGACCTGATATTTTTGGGTTCTGCTTTGATTTCATATTTGTTAACGAATCTTATCGAATGTACAATTGCAGATGCAGAAATGTCAGCAAGCCTACCGCGCTTCAACCGAAGTCCCGCCTAGCCCAGCAAGTGATTCTTCGGGATCTGGGCGGTCTCTCTTCTCTAGGTTCACATTTTCATAGCATGTGTTTGATTAATTAATTGCTTCTTGAGATTAAATGATGCAAAAGGGCTTATTGTTCATTGCCACATGGAGGAGATGCGATCAGGATCGACTTTTACGTTGTTAATGTTACGATAGATTCCTAGTATGGATACATTGTAAAAGATCTGTACGAGGATGGGAGATTGAGATGCTTCATATAGAAAACAAATGCGAGAATAATGGTCAAATTTATTTGTACAGACGATTTTTTTCCAACTTTTGTATCCGTTAAATATAGCGAAGCCGTGATTTCTTCACACGACTAGGAGAGATGCTAAATATAGAACAATTTCGGAATGCAGAATATTAGTGTTACAACTATTCATATACTATTTCTTTGAGAGAACCCCTCAAACAATGAATTTTTTTCATTAGACGTAAGCACACTCTTTATTTAGCTTTGACAGTGAGAGTCATTGAAGAAATGTTTTAGTAATTGGTACTAAATTTTTAAGTTACTCGACTAAGTTTTCGTCGACTAATTTTTTTGTTTGGTCGACTAAGTTGTTTTTATCAAGCCAGTGAGTTTCTCTCCCCTATATTTCGCTCATTAAATCTCCACCACCAGTAAAGTTTCGATATTAGATATATGCCAAGCAGCAAGTTCATATCATCGAATAATGCAGCAATAAGCTTCAATAGTCTCTCCTTTTATTTATTTTTCTGATAATGAAGGAATCTGCAGTCAAGTTAAAAAATAATTAATTAGAAAAAGTCAGTTTTGGCATCAGCTCATACTTCTTCGACGAGGGAGAGATCGCAGGGCAACGAGAGATAGAGAGTGCAATCAATGAGGGGTAGCTCAGATCAAATCATAAATTAGAGGATTTATTTAACGAATAAAAATCTAATCGACTTTTATTGAAGTAAAAAATAACATCTATTTTTACCTCCAATTATGCATCTTACCAAGGCAGGGGCAATTTTTTTTTTTTAGGATGTTTTGAAACTGTGTAAATAAAATAGGATTATTTTAAAGGATGTAAACAAATTAGAGTCTGTCGCTACATGGCGTGGTGACTTCATGATGTGTCAGTGACCCCACACACCTCTCGCTTCTCGCCGCTAGCCTCAGTCGCCGCTCTCTTTGCCCAGTCATCGCCCCCAGTCGCCGCCGCCGCCGCCCCTCCTCCACGCCGGTGTTCATGCACATCCACTCCCTTTTCCAATTTCTTCAGCCAGCCAAGGTAATTTGTTGTTTTTTAATTATTAATTAAGCATTATTATTTTTTAATTAGTTGTTTTATAAGAGGTTTTAGCAAGCGCTACCCCTGTGAAATGTCTAATTGCCGGATAAGCCCCTATGTAAAAACAATTGGCATGGACCCCCCTATATCCCAAAGTCAGAGTCACTCGCCCCCCTATCGCCAAATCGTGTAATGCACGCGCATTCTTTGCGGCTTGTTGTTATGTTTTTCACATTTATTGACATGAAAAGTCAGATATACCCCTCAGCAGTCTTATTTCTACTCTCTCTCTCACCATTTCTCCTCCGTATTCTTCATACGTCTGAAGATAGAGACAGGTCTTCAAATTTCCCCAATTTGGGGATCTTTAATTTTTGATTCAACACTAGAAAATTTGTTCGTCCTCTTACTGATTAAAGAGATTAGGGTCCTTGGATTTTCCCCAATTTCTAAAACTTGGCATTTTGAGAAATTATGTCTTCTCGCACCTGTAGCAGCAATATGAGAAGCAAAAATTGCAAGCAACAGATGGATTTGAGGTATCCATTCACGCCACTTTGTTCGTGCAAAGTGAAAGCCACTATAAGGGTTGTTGAAAACCCCACAAAACTAACAACGGGTAAGTTGTATTATTCTTGCGAGTTTCGTCGATGCAATTTTTTTCGTTGGTGTGTTCCGGATCGAGCAACTTGGGAACCTATTGGGACAGACGTACAATATCGAAATTGGGATTATGTTGAACAAGATTTGCCGAATGAAATTGACGAGTTTGGTGAAGTTATTTCAAAACGATCCAGTGTTGCTGCAAATAATGAAATTAATCGATATGATCGAATTATGTTGCAAATCGCATTGGTTATATGCGTAGCTTTGTTCGTCATAATTTTGGTTCTGTTAATGAAGATTTGAAGTGGGATGATTGGGATGTGCATTGGTGATATGCGTAGCTTTGTTCGTCATAACTTTGGTTCTGTTAGTGAAGATTTGAAGTGGGATGATTGGGATGTTTTCTTAGTTTGTTTTCTTGGTTTGATATGTTTTCTTAGTTTGAGATGTTGTACTGTAGTATTGTCCATCATCGATGTAATATTGACAATGTTGTCGTTTGTTCAAACGTTATTGGTAATCTATGAATTTAGTATTGACAAAATTTGTTATGACAATGTTGTCGTTTGTTCAAACATTATTGGTAGCCTACATTATGATCCAACCAATTATGATCCAACAATCAATCAACCCCTATTTTCAGCAAGTAACAACAATTAAGATCCAAGCAATATTCACCAACATCAATCAAAGTTAATATGTTCAAAAGAGACGGGCAATATTTATCATGAAAATGCTGTTACAAAATTTACTCAAATAACAATTTGAGCATCAAAACATGTTCACTTTTCCAACATTTTAAAAACAAAAACAACATTAATATGTTCAAAAGAGACAGCCAATATTCATCAAAAAGCTGTTACAAAATGTGCTCAAATAACACTTTGAGCATCAAAACATTTAAATCTTCCACATTCTTTTCTTAATGTGTATCCTTGATATTGTTAATGACTTCGGATAGTTGAGGCTTTCTTATTCTCTCACGTGCAATTCCACCTGAAGGAGCAGAGGATGGTGCAGATGCAGAAAAAGGTGCTGAAGGAGCACATGGAGGTGCTGAAGGAGCACATAGAGGTGCTGATGGAGCTGAGGGGGGAACTGGTGGTTTTGACCTTGGTTTGTTGAACTTCTTACATTTTCCTAACAATACTTCATTTCTTCTTCCAACATATACCTAAATAATAATCAGTAAGGTAATATTAATATTGGAAAACAATAATAAAATGAACATGAGTTGCAATTTATTTAAAAAATTATAAAATTAACTTTAATTGTAACCTTTCCTTTTTGTGGAGGTGCAACAGATGGACCTGCAACAGATGGCATTGTTCTTGCATTTGAATTTGCAACAGATGGACCTGCCCTTGCACTTGATTGTCCAACAGTTTGATGTACAATAGAAGGAGATACATATGGAGGTGTAGAAGGTGTTGTTTGACTGGAAAATTGAGGAGCATTTTGAGAATTTTGCACTTCCTCACTTGTAGGATTTTCCTGTCACAAACAAACATACACACACATTAAAAGCTTGCAGTAAGAATTATAAGCATATAAAATCACAATAACTACATTTACCTTGTACAACTTGGACCTTGGATTTGTTGGATTTTTACATGATCCCCGATTATGACCTCGTTCTAGGCAATTTTGACAAGTATGTGTTAGACCTTTTCTGTAAGAAGTCCTATGAACCTCATCTGGTGCTTTCCTTCTCAATTTTGTTGGTCTCCCAGCCTTCCTTTTGTACTTTGGAGCACCAAGTGGCTCATAAGAAGTTTTGATATAATCTTTGGGTCCAGGTACAGCATGTATCATGTAGTTATACACCTTCAAATATGTTTCCTTCTTGTAACAAGAGTCCACATAATCTTCAACCCTATACCTTCTTTCAGCAATGCATGCCCATGCATGATGGCATGGATAACCATTCAGCTGAAAAAGACCATTCTTCCATGGAATCTTCCATTCTTTTACCAATGTACTTGGCAGTGGCATGCTTGTTCACCCTTTTTCTGGAACATGTGTGTTCCCCTTTGATTGTCTTTATCTGTAAATTGAAATATCATTACCATTAAAACTTACATAATCTGATAATATAATATATAAAGTATAAAGTAAAAAGATAATATTATAATATATAAAGTATAAAGTAAAAAGAGAATATGATAATATAGTACCTGGAATGTTGGACCACCTTGTACAACAGAGGCATGAATCCTCCAATTACAACCTGATTCTTTGCATTCTGCAGTGACTCTACTCCTTTCATTTTTTATATATTCTAACTCATACCCATTTCTTACCACCCAATCTGTTAGAGCCTCTCTGAAAATGCCAATATTTGAAAACTTCATCAATTCTTCCAAGTTTCTGTTCTTCATACTTTGGAATTCAGTAAATGTAGGGCATTTGGCTCTCTGTGGATCATCCAAATTTTCAATATTATCATCATCTTCTGCATCACTGAACCATTGAGATGAATGGACTGTAGATGGATTTATGGTACATCTTTGCACTCTTTTATTTGGTCTCATAGCTTTCTTTCCCATTTTATTCAGCTTCTTGATTAACTCTTTCTTAGTTGGCTGTCTATCCACAAAAATATCATCATCCGATGAGCCTTCAATATCTTCCAATTCCTCACTTGGAGCATTGGAATCTACATCATCTTCTGAAGACTCTACATCATCAGCTTGAATGTAGTCATCATCTGAAGAATCATCACCCTCAAAATCTTCATATGTTGTAGTATTATGAAGTGGCTCTTCATTTGTTGGTACCTCATAAGCTGGTTCACCTGTACTTGCAATTTCTTCTTCACAAATTACTCTTTCACTTGCAATTTCATCTTCAAAAGTTGCCCTTTCACTTGCAAGCTCCTCTTCAAAAGCTGCCCTTGCCCTTGCAATTTCCTCTTCAATTTCCTCATCATATTCAGGTTCATTTGTCCTTGCATTTTCTTCATTTTCATCACCAGTCATTGCATTTGCTTCTAGTGCATCCCCAGTCATTGCATTTTCTTCTAGTGCATCCCCAGTCATTGCATTTTCTTGCTCACCACTAGCCACTGCATTAGGTTGCTCATCAACAGCCACTGTATTTCCTTGCTCATCACTAGCCACTGTATTTGTTTGCACATCACTATCCACTGTAGTTTCCAGTACCTCATCAGCTTCAATTCCCTCTTCACCATACCCCATCCGTAGTACTTTTGGATAAATAATACTCCCATTTGTATCAACTCCAAGCAATGGCTCTATTCCTGATTCTTCAGTATACAAAGTCAGAAAACCCAACCCTTCATGTACATTGACCATAAAGGGAATACCAGTGTCATCAACAATACGTTTTAAGCCCATTTCCAGTGTTTGCCCAGGGTACAAGAAGTAGAACTTTGGGGTCAGCACTTTACCTCCACAATAATGGTAAATTTGGAACAGTAGGTCCATGTTCATGTAGTCTAAGGACACCTTGTCAACCTCACTCTTTCTTCCTCCAACATATTTTAGTTTTGGCTCATGCACAAATTTTCCATCTAACCAAATAGTAATTTTGCAGAGGGTCTCCATCTGTATTAAAAAAAAAATGAGATATATTAAACAAATTCTCAAAATTTTCAACAACCACAAATATATTAAAAAAATGCTCAAATTCATCAACAACCAGAAATCCTATACCCCACATGTTCCCTCAACCTACAGACAAAATGTGCTTTATTCAACAATAAAATTGAAAAAAATGGACCACATACACAAACTTCAAAACAAATGCAGACAATATATGCCCTACAAAGCAATAAAATAGAGAAAAGGGACCACAACCCACAAATCCCCAAAACAATTTAAGTATAAAAAAGTTCCACATAAGTTAACAAAAAGAGAAGTGGGAAAATGCATTTCAAGTTACCTCGTCAAAAACCAGAAATTGCAGAAATTATTTCAACGGGATTCTAGTCTGCACATTTTCCCGTTCTTCTTCTTCTTCATATATATGCGTAAATGGGTACCGAGTTGGTGTTTCACGACACAAACATGGTGTTTGTTGCAAGTATATTTCACGATTTGCACAGCAAAATGGAGATTCGCAGACAAAATTGATTTCTAGGGTTTTTGGGAGTGGATAAGGATTTTGGAGAGTGAGTCTGATTTGCGAATTGGGGGAAGATGAATTTTGGGAATTGATTAACTAAGTATCTTCATAAGGGTAGAAAAGTCATTTCATGTTAGTCAACGGGGCTTATTTCGATGGGGGGCGGTGGGCTGAATAAAACCCACCATAGGGGGTTCCTTGCCAATTATTTTTACACAGGGACTTTTACGGCAATTAGACATTTCACAGGGGGCTGTATGCAATTAACTCTGTTTTATAAATATGTGTTTGATTATTAATTATTTAATCTTAACATGTGGTTAATTATTTGTTTATATTATAGCATTGTGTTTAATTATTAACCATTTTTATCACATGTGTGTTAATATGTCCAATTTTAGAGTTAGTTAAAACATGCCTAATTTTAATTAATAATTGATGAATTGTTTAGCCTTAATATATATTCCATTTGTAGTTCTATTAAATAAAATAAAATTAAAATTGATAATTATATTGTAAATAATATGTTTGTGGGGTTTCCTAACATAATCACCGAACTCCCCACTAGATCACTAACCTACCTCATGTCTTTCCATTTGTGTTACTGGTAGAGTAACTTCTTTTGTAACTTCTCTTGTAACTCCCGGTGGTTTTTTCACCTATATAATGGAACTCTTCCTCCCCCAATATTACACCCTTATTAATCTCTCTACGGATTTTTGTCTTTGCATTCTCTCTCTATCTTTTATTATTGTTGTCATACTTTATTTTCCATAATCATCAAACCGAAGAGCAATACCATTAGGGCGATTTATAACACGTTATCAACACGAGTTGCTCGCCGTGATCGTGGAAGAACAATTGTTCGCGGGCCTAGAATACTTGAAGAAATTATGAGTGTGGTTCGTTTGTGAGACGGTGATCTACTTATGGTGCACGGTAAACATCCAATGAACTAATAATTTATTTATATGCAACTTAATATATTGACTGAGCAACATTCCATACGATATTACAATTGGATAAGACCCGCTCGTTATGCTCGGTCCTCGCGAAACAGTATACGTGTTTATCGTACGACGCTCGATCGGATGCTCTGGCATCAGGTTATTATAAGTTAACGCATTTACGTTAATGTTTGTGGTCTATTTAACAGTACATTAAAAAAATGTTTCTTTTCTTCTAGTTTACATGGATGTCTTATAGTGAACTCGATCTCGAGTTTGGTGCTTTGCTTGCGCATCCTGAGATAGTGTGCATCCACAACTTTGGATATCGCACTGTCTTCTTATATTTTACAGACATTTGAGATGCATCGTCCTGGTAGGGTACTACGCCAGTTTGGGATGATACAACATATTCCTCCTCATCCTACTGATCACGATATTGAGATTATCTTGCATTCTTATGATTGTGGAGGTGCTGGGGAGAGATTGGGCTCGTTTTCACCGGATCTATATTTAGATGGCATTCCCGACTCGATTCGTTCGTTAACTATCCATCTATTGAGATTAGTGGACCTCAGACTGACCTAGGATACTACAAGTGGTATGAAAGGCACACACGTCGTTTTATATCACTGGTTGACAATCTTGATGATATTGGTTTTCACGTCGGGGACCCAATTTTATTGGGTCTAGTGGTCAGTATCTTTCTCAAAACAACCATTACTATCGATGTTTTTCAGTTCTTTAAGTTCTTAAACTCGTAATGCCTTTGATTTCAGGGTAAGCAGCTTATATCCATGAGTCTTGCTGCCAGTGCAGTGTCTCGAGATGACGATCGGATTTATGATCTGTATCAGGACAACACTACATGTATGCAACTGGGACTCAACTTCTGCATAGAGATAGTGTTTCGTCAAGCATACATTCCATACCTCTTATACCTTCTCCGATGCGAGGTAGACGTACCAGAAGACGCTCCAGCACTGCCAAATTGGAGGATGACGTGAGACAGACAAGAGAGGGGAACTATTATGCATCTACGTCTCGGGTACTTCATGCTGAAGATGTTCCCACCGCCTCATTATCGTGACTAGTCTCTACTATATTCCACTAACCCATACCTTTGTACACTCCCTAACTTCTTTGTAACTTGCAACTTCCGATGATTTACACTTATATAAATGAAACTTCCGATAGTTTACTAATTTACACTTATATAAATGAGAATTTGTCTTACCTTAATAAATCTCCGAATTATCTCTTTATGGATTTGTTACTCACTTGTACCATCTCTTTCTATCTCTCAATTATTGTTTTTTTTTACGTTCTTGTGAATTACTGTATTTCATAATCATCAAACCAATCAAACCAAAGAGCTAGATTAAATAGGTTATTCTACGACGATAGTCAAACTCAAACTTAAAAATTACCAAATCTAGTTGGGCATAAAATAAGGATTGTTAATATTATTTTTAAATATTGAATTAAGTATTATGAAGATATTTTTTTATTTCTTTTAAAGTAGGATATTCAATGATTTATTGGTTTCTCAATTCCCAACCAGGTAACACGAACCCGAGATTAAATAGGCATAGTTGCAAGTTAGTTTCTAGACCAACTTATAAATATTTTTAAGAAAGAATTACGTCATCAAAGAAATTTAAATTTACTTTCTAGACCAATATTAAATTTGCTATTGAACTTTTGATTTTAAATTTGAAATTTAAATTGAAATCAAAATGTAAATAGTTCATTTTAGTGGAATACTAGATATTTTAGTATAATATATTATAGGGAGGTCATTTGCAAAATAAATCTTAATTGCAATGAAGACAATAAAAATTTGTTCCAAAATTGTTCAAATATAATAGGGAGGTCATGTGCAAAATAAAAAATCATAAGAGATCAATTTTCTTCTTCTTTTTTTTTTTTTTTTTTGAAAAGGAGAGTAGTTATAGATTCCCCAATTACCTACCTATATCAATTTAAAAAAGGCAAATATAATCATTTTAATTATTGACCTCTCCTTTTGGACAAGTGCTTTGAAATCTACCACTATTGTTCAAGAAAAAACTAAAAATGAGAATTATATATTCAAAATTCCTTGTCAAATCTTTCCATCTAAATAAATACAAGTTTCGTTATTATGAATTTGAAATCCCTCAATCCTTCGATCCAAATGGGAGCATAAGGCCGACTTAAGTATGAAAGTGTTTGATTCAAGTCTCGATCATTTGAATGCAACAAATACAAAAGGAAGCATCAAACCAGGAAAATAATAACAAACACTGAGCCAAATAAAACAAACACACTCAATTGTATAGCTGATGCAATAATAATGTTGAAGAAATCGTCTCACTCAACCAACTTAAATGGGCTCGACAAAACAAGCAATTAAAGCAAATCAAACAAGTAGTCTACTTAAAACCCGACAACAACGACGAACCTAATGAGAAGATGAATATACTCTATAGTAGAATAAGTTGGGCACACACTGTGATAACAGGGCTAATAAGCATCAAATCATTAACTGAAGTGCTAGTCTTCCTTCATCTCTAAAATAACCATTCATAAAGATAACCCAATTGAGATTTGATCGATTCTCACCTAGAACCACGTGCATAGTTCCTATCGGGACTGCGTCGAGGAGAATATGACCTGGACCTGTCCCTTCTTGATCTTCCAGCAGAAGGTGAAGAATGTCTTGGAGAGTAATCACGCCCACCTCTATATGGTGGGGACCGCCTCGGAGACCTTCTGTACTCGTATTCATCACCCCTCGAACCTCCTCCACGATGCCTACCTCGTTCTCCATGATAACCTTTTTCCACACAACCAATCAAATTATTAGCTTTCATATCAATACATATAACTCAAAAACATTAAACTTTATTAGAGAGAGAGACAAAGAACTCACTATCACCGCGACTATCACCGCGTGTGCTTTTGAGCCCAAGATAATGACCAGGAGTTGGAGTCCTCGCGCGTTTCCTCCGCGACTGATGAAAAATTAAATAAACCTCACTTTATGTAATCTAAGAAAAAAATTTATGATTTTATAGATCAAGAATGAAGCCAAACAAGTAACATTGAGTTATCTCAGATAGTAAGAAACATGCATAATTAGTTCCGGAACGATTAAATCTATGTTTTCTTATGCTATCCTAAATTACGGTCCATACAGCAGTCAAGTAGATTGAGAAACTGCACAATTTAATTCACATTTGCTTAATCAATCAAAATCGAAAAGGGGAAGGAAAAAAAGAAAAAGAAAAAAAAGAGGGAAACATCGATCGCAGGTATGAGATACCATAAAAGCTTGATTAGAATGTTGACAAAGAGCCTTGATTAATTGAGTTGAGTATTTGCTGAAGTTGTATAGTTGTTGGGCAATATAGATGGGGATGCTATTTAGTTGATCAGATTGCAAGTGAAATGCTGTTTAAGCTTTGTTGCGATGGATCGACTGAACATCTTTGATTTCTGCCAACATAGCTGACGCAATATCTTCTGAATATAACCACAAAACCTTGAGGTCAAATAGATTGATTTACAATCATATCATATTAGGTCAGATACCAAGCTTTTTTCTTTCAGATTAGCAGTTTAGCTTACCCTCTCCACTGTTATGTATCGGCCCTCCAGCACTGATTGATTCAGGTGTTTGATACATCGATTCGCATCCTCGACTGTCTCCATTGTTACAAAAGCAAAACCACGAGAGATACGTGTTCGTGGTTCCACAACCAAGAATACTGATTTCACCTATAAAATGGACCAAATAGAGCATGTCAACAACATGAAGAGAAAGTTCAAACAAACCAGATATAGGAAGCAAGGTAGTCAAAATCGGGATTTAAATCGTACAATCGTCAGATTTTACAATTTTACACGCTTGCAAATAGTGAAATAGCAGCGAAATCATAAGTCCGTTAAAATTGGTTTCAATCGGGAGTCAAATTGATAAAATCGCAATTTTTAGAATTTTGATTTTAATCAAAATTTAGGCTGAAATTTCAAGTTTGGGCCTGAATATCTAATCTTTTAACTAAGATTTAGAATGTCCATTACCCAAACAAATCCTAATCGGCCCTACACTAATGTTTCATCGCCTTCTAAGAGAAAAAATAAACATTTCATCGCGATATGGGAAGAGGAAAGTATTTTTCTTTCTCCTAAGCTTCATGAGCATTGTTAGGACATTATTGTATGTTTTATGACTTGTATTATTTGTGTAAGAAGATGTTTACTAAGAACTAAAATATATATGGTTTGCTATCAATTTCACAATTCAATCCGATTTTACGTTTCCAACTTTACTCGCACTCTCCGATTCAACTTAAAATCCTGATTTTGACTATCTAGATTGGAAGTCAACAACATGAACAAGAAAAAGTCCTAATCTGTATTCGAGAAATAACCACCTATCTTTAAAGGAACTTTATGATAAAAGCACTAGCGTCAAAAACAAAACATAGTACAAGTAGAGGTACTTGCTTACTACAATATTTCATACCAACTTTGGTGAGTCGACTTTTCTCCCAAAGAAAGAAGCCAAAAATCAGGAGATAAAATTTAAGAACAAACCTTTCCTTCCTTTGAGAAATGATCTTCAAGGTCTCTTTCAGTGGCCCTCGTAGATAGGCCAGTCACATAAAGTGTAATCCCTGGATTAACTGCATCAGTCCTGCATGGAAAATACAAGAAAACCAAACGCTTCGATAACTTAAAACACATCAACCGGGGCAAAGTGTAATTTAAGCATATCAAACACAGTAATACAACTAACCTGCCACGACCTCTTGAACCAGATCTCGACCTCGATCTAGCCCTTGGTCTTGACCATGATCTCGAATGAGATCTGGATTTTGACCGGGACCTTGACCTTGACCTGGACCTCGAATTCTCCTCCCATGGAGAGGGAGATCGTGCAACCCTAAAAACATAACATGAAGGAGAAAACTGGTTTCAAACACGTATGATACTAGCGAAATTGGCCTGAGTTACAAGTTTATATGCACTTTTGAATAAAATGAAATTCATGCAAAGTAAGATCCAAAGTGGAAAACTCTATCATGATTGAAAGATCCACTTTAAATATTGCAACTTCAGCCAAACAAAAGGTTAGCTAACTACATATCGCAGTGAACTGCGAGCTTAACCACATTGATCTCAAAATTTACAAAGTCAATTTAGCATAATGCACAAGCCTGTATACACACAACTGAGAATTCCTAAGCAAAAAACATGCATATAAAAACATAGAAGAAATTCAACAAATGATCTTCCGTGTCATTACAATATTAAAATGTAGACAAGGTCAAAAGAGAAGTTGCACAGCAGTTCAGAACGGTGAGACTGCAGTGAATAAAAACTCCCTTTCAAAGTTCAGTGAAGTACAAAAACTTAGATACGTTACTCATCTGAAGATTAATCTTTCTCCACGTCAGATTTATTTGGTAGCAATTCTAGACCAACCTATATCTATCCAGTACATACAGAAGAAACTTTATATACATTTCATACTCATATGTATTTCAGATATTTTGGTTATAGATTCGTTATTACGAAAAAATATCGAGTATCACTCTCCTGCTTTTGAAAATCAGATTCAAACCCCATTTCATAAACTCAATATTCCTAGTTATGCAGTATTTCTCCAAGAAAATAATTGTCTTTCAACATTTTCAAAGCAGAGGTTTGGCTCCTTATGAATAAGTTCATTTCATTTTGTAACGAGGGCATCAACTTAAAACATATATCCACACAAATAATCCTCAATTAATACAGCAAATAGCCCCCAAAAATGTTTAGTTGCTTCTACAATCTCAAATTCAATTTGCAAAACAGTCAAATTCAAATTCAATAAGTTAAGAATAAAAAAATGATTCCTTCGAAATGACGCCACAAATACCCGCAAAAATTTCTCAAATGAACACTACATCAGGATGAAAAAGAAAAACACAATAGCTAAAGTAGTAAATTCCTCTCAAAATAGATACCCTAACCCTTGAACCGCTGACTTATATATAGCTCGAAACCGAGGAAAAATTCTACAGAAATCAACACTCGAATAATGAAAATAACGTAAGATGGTTCAGAAATTTTACCGTTTGCGTGGAGAATCAGCCTGCAAAATTAATAGATTATTATCATCAACGGAAATACAAATCTACCTCAATTTTGTGAACATTTCTAGAGAATTCAAATAATCATTCAAATCAACATCTTGCGAGAGAGAGATCTTACCATATGGTGCGGGTAGATGAACAAACCCTAAACCTCCGTCACCTGTTCCAAAAGCGGGGCAATTATTCTTGAGGAATTCGTTTCTTTTTATATTTAGCAGAGAAAATCGAACCCGGTTCATTTTCACTTTCCTTTTTCCACTGTCAGATCAAGTATTTTACTAATGGACAATTTTACCCTTTGAAGTAGTTTTATTAGATCTCTTTTGAGTTTTGATTCCTACTATTAACTACTTTTCGCATATTTTAATGGGGCAATTTGCTATAGGTCCTCCTCTAAGAGATTATATGTGTTAAAATTCATCTAATAAACTCTAATTTCCAGCAGATTTTATTATTTGTAATTTGTCAAAAATACCCCTATCAATATATGGTAAAATAAATCCTTAAAATCAAATCCCCTATTTTTCTCCCTATATTATACAACAAATCCGAAAATTAGGACTGCAAATCTCTTGATATCGATTCTTCCCTGTTTTTTTTAAACCAAAATCTCCACAAATTTTGAAGACTTCCATAGGTTTGGGTGTCTGAGCGTTTGCAATTTACAAGGTCGTTTGCAGTTTGCCTTCATTCCCTTTTCCTTCGTTCGATTTGTCGTTTCCCAATTTGCATTCGTGCCATTGCTGTTTAGAAATTGCTTGTTGTTCGGTAACAACTCAGGTAGTAAAAAATGCACCACCGCTACGAACGTCGCGCCACTGCCGCAACCGCTCGCTTTTGTCTCTGTAAAATGCAAATAGCAAACTAATAATTAAAACTTGCATTATTGAATTTAAAACAACAAACTACCTATGAATTCATCAAATGCAAACAATAAATCGACCAAGTGAAAAAATCAGCATCATCTAATTACAAACAATAAAATGAAAATATGATATGCAATATGTAAATGCAAATAATAAAAATAAAAATACAGAACAAAAATATCGTACATATCATAAATATGCAAAAAATAACAATAAAATTATAAAAAATATTCTATCAATGCAAAAATTGCAATTTGCAGTTTGCAACAAAATCTACTGTTATCGATTGCAATTTGCAGTTTGCAACAACAATTTGATTTAGCTGTTTCATTATTTTGTTTTTTGCTATTTATTGAACCAAAATCAATTAGAAATACAAACAAACATTATAAACTCACTACAGATAAATACAAAACGAGAAAAAAAAAAGCTCACCTTGTGCAAGCAATGAACGATTTATGTTTGTTGTCCGCTTTTAACTCTTTCACCGAAAAATCATCTAATAATGTAAAGCTTCAATTTTTTTTCCTTCCCTACAACATAATCCAAAAGAATTCGAATTCCAAAGGAAAAAAAAAATCGAACAGATGTAATCGAGAAAAGGGTATAGAGAAAGAAAGAAGTTGATCGGAAAAAAAAAATCAAAAAGTGTTGATCGAAAAGAAAAAAAAATCAGAAGAAAAAAGCCAGAGAAACGAGATGGAGATGGAGAGGAAGAGAAATATGAGAGATTATATAGGAAGAAAGATACGTAAGAATGAAGAGAGAGAGTGTATGAGATTTGTTTTCTTATTAATTGAGGGTGTTTATGTCCATATACTAATTGTTTTATTTTATTTATATTATTTTTATGTGATAAATGACCTATGCCTATATTCATCTAGCAACTAGGATCTCTACCTATATAAGTCCAGAATAAGGGGTGTCTAGCCAATTTCCCCTATTTTAATATTTTAATTAGGGCAATTTGCTATAGGTCCTCCTATAAGAGATTTTATGTCTATAAATCCAATTAATAAAATTCAATTTTTAGTAAATTTTTAATTTTAATATGTTAAAAATATCCCTAACAAAACATGGAAATAAAAATCTCCAAAATAAATATTTCATATTTTTCTCCTTACAGTTAATCAACCCATTCCAAAATTTCACGTATTCTCAATCTCAAATTCCACTATTCCTAAGAATCGATTTCATCAAATTTCAACGCTCCAAAACATCAATTTCATCAATATCAAACCTAACCAAAAATCGCATTGAGTCTGTCGTTTGCAATCCACAAAATTTCGCTTGTTGTTTACGTTGTGAAATCAGTTTTTTTTTTTTTTTTTTTTTGTCTTTTCTCGTTTGGTATTTGGAGATCGTTTATTGTTTGAAGACATCGTCTGTTGTTTCTTCATCTGTTGTTTGTGATTTTTACAATGGCTCAACACAATTTAGTCTCGGTAAGCAATACTCCTATTAACTACATGTACATATGATTGTTCGATTTTTTCAATACTCATCCAAAACCCCGTTTTTTTTCTTCAGACAGCGAACGAGGATGATGAATTCGAGTCCCCGAGAAATTAGATATAAATTGCAGGGTTTGTTGAAGTTAGTAGTCTATTTATGTTTTATTTAATTGCAGTTTGCACTTTGCGATTCTCTATTATAATTGAAGTTGTTATTGGTTATTTGTTGTTCATATTTGGTCTTAATTGGAGTTCTTATTAGCTGTTTGCATTTCATGTCTACATTTGTAAGATGAACTGTTGTTTTCATCTGCAATTAATATTTTCTATTAATTTCTTTTAAATTTTACTCAAGCAGTTTTTATTAAGCTACTTTTTTTACACTTTGAAACATGTTTGTTGCAAGAGACATTTATTTGCAATTTTATTTTCACTTTGTAACTATTTTGTAACGTAATGCTTGTTGTATGTTGACGTTCTTGAGTTGCGAATTATGTTGCTAGCAATTAGGTTTACATTGTCCACTAATCCTCATAAATTGGACTTTAGATTAGTTTTTCTCTTTTTACACATGTTTGCAATCAGTTTTCTATTTGCATTTTTCATTTTATTTTGCAAATCTTGTTTGAACTTGCGTTGTTGTTTGTTGTTTGCAATCACAATTCTTTTTTGCTATTTGTCTTAACTTTGCAAGTAGTAAGTCGTGGTTAAAGTTTGCAATTTATATTTCGTAGGTTCAAGATTGTACATTATATTCTATTGTGGGAGTGGTTCAACCCATACATGCCTGGGTAAAAAAGAAAGAAGACAATTTCGGTTGATGCCGTTGACATGAAAAAGTTCCATGATAATGCCAGTGGTAAAAAAATATTGTTTAATGATTAACATTCATTTTTCTCTTTGAAGTTTAATTTATTGTTTGCATCAAATATAATTTATTGTGAAAATATTACACTTTTTAGATTGTTGTTGCACATCGTATAATACTTTTATAATTTATTTTTTCTACTTCAAATTGAAATTTGCATATTTTATTTTTTATTGCAAACATATTTTGTCGTTTTAAATAACTTTGCGAGTTTACAGTTTGTACTTCATTCTTCATCATTTTTCGTGTACAATTTGCTTTCACTGTTTGTATTTGCAGTTTGTAATTAGTGGTTGTTAATGTTAGGAACTATTACATTTGTTGTTTTGTATCGTACAATCATTATCTCTTTTTGTTTGACATTCAACATCCACTGCAAAAAAAAAAGGATCAAGTCATTGTTGAACAAGATCGAAGAAAGGAAAAGCAATATTAAATGCATCGGACGTGCACGGAATCAATGTCAAATGGAGAAAAAGTTCACGGTGTGAGAATATGAGCGATTTTCGTTACTTTCTTTTCCCACTTCATTCATGTGAATGTCCCATTGTCAAATTTCGGAACTGGACAGTCCTTGTGTGTGATAAATATTATACTCGTGAGAGCATGTCAACTCGTATTTGCCCAGAAAAAAAGAGAACGACGATCCATTTTTGTTCATGTACTTGCTAACAAGTACAAAGTCCTCTAGAGCGCCAAAAAAAATTATCGTTTGATGATTCAAAATCATTTTATTGTTTCAAGTTGATCTTTTTACTGTTTGATAAAGCATATTCAATTTCTTGTACATAAATTACCCATCAGCAAACTTAACCGATTAAAATTTTTGATTGTTTGTTTTTAGATTATTGATGCACATTATATAATAATCTTACAATTTAATTTTCAGTTCTAAGTTGCAATTTGCAGTTTTCTATTTTATGTTGCAAATTTATTTTGTAGTACAATTTTTTTTTTTTTTGATTTGCTAAAGTATAACTAATTAGAAAATGCAAACAAAAAAAATGCAATATTGTCGAGAACATACAAAATAACAATTAAAATCCAACACATATGATCTCAAGAAAATTAATAATTGAATATTGCTATAAAATACTTATGGAAATAAAATTAAAGATTTTTTTAAAGAAATGAAGAATTAATTTCCACATTAGCTGCCTTGAGAGGGAGAGGGGGAGAAAAATAGCATAGTGAGAGATAGAGAGAGACGCGTGTGGGGTGTTAAGAGATAGAGGTGTGACCGTGTAGAGAGGAGAGAGAGTGAGATATTTGTGGTATTAGTTCCCTTAATTTCTAAAATAACTATTTACATATAAATGTTAATTGGGGGTATCTATGTCTATATACTAATAAATTTAATTAAATTTAATTGATCAAGGACCTACACCTATATTCATCTAATAGAATGGATCTCCACCTATATAAGTCTAAAATAACGGTGTCTAGCCAATTTCCCAATTTTAATTAGGATCCATTGCACACCTCAAATAGAAAATATGAAAGGATAGGTCCACTCCTGCATTTACCATTTTGGACATGCATCTAGCATTTTTGTACTGCATATATCATGATTTTTAATTTAATAATTTTCTTTATTCATGTATATATATTGTAATTTTTTTATTATTGTTGTATTTTTTATAAAATTTTTTAATATTTCAATTTTTTAATTTGTTTAATTTTTTAATTTTATAATTTTTTTAATTTTTAATTTTTTAATTTTTTTTATTAATTCATTTTTTTCTAAAATTACTGTACTGAAAGTATACTACACATGAATATAGTGTCAATAGTCATGTATAGTTATATATAGTTGTATATTGTCTTTTTACTCCAAAATTCTGTTGGAATTTTCATGATTTTCAATAATTAATATTGAGTAATATTAATTAAATTATAGAGATTAATTTCATTTATTTACCTGATCATAATCATGAAGTAAAGTGAATGAAAATTGTCTTGATTAAATGGTTAAAGTTCAAAAGATGTGCGCTCGATGTGATCGAGTGATAGGACT